CGCATTCCCAAGCACTCAGCATCCTAAACCTAACCCTAAACCTAACCCTAAACCTAACCCTAAATCTAACCTAACCCTAACCCTAAAACAAACCCCTAAACCTAATCCTAACCCTTACCTTAATTTAAATCCGCTTTCTGCCGCCACGCTGTTTTAAAGCGCCCTTCTGTCACCGCGCTGTTGTCGCGGCGGTGATGACGTCACGGCTTTAGCGACGCGATTTTATCACCGCTATTTTGACGAGCGCGGTTTTGTCGTGCCACGATTCACTTAATAATCACGTTACTAACTTAACAAGTACAATGATTCTTTTAACAACTGTGGCAAAAAAAGTCATAAATTCATTTAATAAATGTTTCACTTAGCAACAAATGTTGGCCTCTATTATGCTCGTAAGTCGAGGATTACCTGTACATTTTGAAAGTATTACAGCTGGGGAATAGGTTGCAAGCTTGAGGAAAGAATGAAAGAAACCCTTAGCATCAGGATTCTGTATTTTTATATGTAACTCCTTCAGATTATTGTATATATAAAATTCTCTTCTGCAAGCTGAAAGACATATTACTCAGCATTCTAAGGTTCCTTAAAATTATTAAAACTTTACTCTCAATATATCTGCCAGTACTGATAACAAGGGGATGACACTTGGTAAACGTTTTAAGTGTCAGAAGCATCACAATTAAAATAAGCATATTATACAACACAAAATATAAAATACAAGATTAAAATATGTAGTTAAATATATTTATAGGAATAGTCAAGCGGAGATACTGAATTCTATTTATTGCTGGACAATTCCTTAATTTAATTTCTCTAGGCATTTTGCAATAGTGCTGTCTCTTCAAATACATTCCCTTTTTCTTCTCTAACACTATTATTTGCTGTTCCTTTCCGTGTGACTAATTATTGAAAATCCAGGCATACTATCTCCCTTTCCCTAGTAACATCCTTGATCTAAAATTGTTTAGGAAAGAATCAGCAATTTGCCATTCAGATAATCTATTAAGGAAATGCTCATATTCTAATGGATTACTGTTGTGACTCAGCAGACGTCTTCTGTGAGTCTTTTCAGGATGCAAGATTAATTATGCAGCTGGGGCTCGTTAGGGGATATTCTGGGGATAAAAGGAGGGATGGTGCCACGCCTTAATGGCAGGAGTCAATGTTCCTGGGTTCGTACAACATTGATTGATCATCAGTCGTGGTTTATGTAAGATACACATGGAAAAGTGCTTTGTTTTCTGTA